ATTTTACAGCAAATACCAGGGCAAAACTGGGATTATAGAAAAGATGTACATAATGTTTTTGTGGATTAAAAAAAAGCGTATGATAGTGTACATAGAAACAGTTTATGGAATGCTATGAAGGACTTTGGAATACCAAAGAAGTTAATTACCCTGACCAAACTATGTATGGAAGACACTTGTAATACAGTAATATGTAAAGGCAGAAAGTCAGACCCTTTTCAAATAACATCTGGTTTAAAGCAAGGTGATGCTCTGTCCCTGCTTCTTTTCAACTTGGCCCTGGAGAAAATTATAAGGAAATAGACTGAAATAGTTGGGGCATATTGAAAGAATGTCAGATGACAGAGAGGTAAAAACTGTATATACGAGGGAGATGAATGGTCGTAGACCACGAGGGATACAAAGAAGACGATGAAGTCAGACCTGCAAACACTTAGTTTCACCAACTGGAAAGAGAAGGCCAGCCAGAGAGATGAGTAGAGGCAGGGGATATCTATAGCAATGAACCTCAAGGGCTTAGAATGCTGAAGAAGAAGAATCACTTAAACACGGCGCTCATGTTGGTTTTGGTACCACATTGTGGGGGAAAACCAGATGAGACCCACTACCTCCATAATAAGCATGTCGGAAGAGTCGGCTAACTTGGAGCTTCCTTCAAAGTCAGAGTGCATTTGCTTGAGAGACAAGAAAAAAAAAACTGCGTACGAAGAAGTCAGATTTGTAAAACGGATGTGCACGCAACACTCAGATTCTGGAACTAGACCAAAGTCCAGAGGTGGACAAATAACAAAATTTTTCACAAGAGTTAACAGCCTGTGAACGAGAAGAAGAAGAAGAAGAGGAAGAAGACAAACAAGGCGTATGATTTTTGAGCGCTTCTCACCCCCCCCCCCCCCCACTTCTTCCACCCTTTTCTAGAAAAACTGTAAGCTGAGCCCCGGCTTACCTTCCCCCTCCCCGTTTTCTTTGTGTCGCCACCCATGTAAGTGCATACATGTACGTTTTTATTGTTATTCGCAGCTTTCCGTCTTTTCAGACGATCGTGTAATATTGTACGTCACAAGCAGTTCTCCATCTTCCTTATGCCACGACCATTTAATACAGTTCCTAATGTTGTGGCGACTCCCATCCATACAATTTTTCTCGTCACTATTTTATAATTTCAATGAATATGTGTTTTGCGATGATCGTCAGTGACCCCTGTGACAGGGTCGTTCGGCCCAAACAGTATTGTCTGGAATTTTTTGTTCCACCGGGATTTGCTGGTGTGTTAGGAAATGAACAGGCTTGCCGGCTCTGCCCAACTTGGTGGAATACTGATGCATGATAGAGCAGATGTGGTTAGTGCCTTGTGGGAGAGCGTGTACAGTTCGGAGGAGCAGATGGATCACTACAGTCTGGTGAGACTGATACAGCGGGGAGTGACGAGGGGTTTTGGCAGATGCTCGAGGCTCAGAGGAAAGGCAAGACGGACGTTTAATCAGAATGCTACTGGCACCATAGTACTATCGGAACTCTTCACTGGCAGCTGATGATGGGGACGGAACGCTTATGGGAATGCCCCGAATGCTGTGATATCGGTTCTTGAATCAACTCTACTCAACCCTCCCCCCCAAAAAAAAAATCGCGACCCATAGGCTGAGAACCACTTTAATATAGGAAAGCATGGGAGGTAATCAGTGAATCGCACTTGCAACTTCACAACGAACAGGTCACCTATAGCTGCTACATTTCTGTACCAACGAAAACTACTTAGATATACAACACTGTGGCTCGTGGAAAAACTGCACAAAGACTGCAGTCTCAGCAAATTAAATATTACATCTACACATTTAATGCATAAGGCAGCCGTCAGAAGTGCCAACACCAACAGTCCGATTCTATAATGCAGTTTGGCGTCGATGGAAGTAGCAGTTACAACGGATCGGTATTTGCACATACGATTAATCACATAAGGCACCACCATATCTGTGGAAACTGGCCACTCGCCATTTTCCGAATCTACAGTTTCACAAAAGAAACCACATTGGGCACAACCGAATAGCATTCCAAATGATATCTGCAGCTCATAGTGTCGGACCATGCGCTCAACAAAGTAGATTTTAGTCAACATACGGAGTTAAATGCAACAGCCAACTATTATCATAAGCTTGACACGACTAAAACAGTAGATATCTGTCCTCCATATTGACTGGAAAGCATAGCAGCAGATGCCCATGGCATCGGCGAGGGTGACTAGCAAGACCCGCATGTGTTATGGACATTCTTCTACAATTTTGCGGCTTGAGAACAGAGCGGCCCGACATGAGGGGATTGTAACAATCTCACAGAGCATGTTTCGGAAAACTGAAACTGGTGCCCTGCGCGCAGAGTGGCTTGCATCACGTTATAAGACCCAGACCAAAAGCAAGGTTTACCTTGCCTTAGATAAACAGCATATCATGGATTTTCTGTCCACGACGTTCAGGTGTGCGAGGTAACGAGCAAGCTGACAGTTTGGCTGCTGTCGCTACTCTGACAGTGAGATACCATATGATAAAACGGATGGGGTGAAAGCTCTACGGGATCAAAAGAACCGTACGAAAGAACAGATAGAGAATCCATACACTGAAAGATTAATTCAACGCCCTGCATTGGTTTCAATGACAGACAGCGCAAAGAGCAGTGGCATACTTCTTGTTCTTTTCTCTATCTGCTTTCTATCCCTCAATGGGGCATAGACCACCGAGTGACTCACGTCAAGTCCTTCTGTCCTCTACTACTGCATGCAGCTCTCCCCATCAGTTTAACTTCACTCTCAACTTCCCTTCTCCATGCGTTTGTATTATTTTTTTTGTTATGTATGCCTTTATTTTTATGCCCCTGTGGGTTTCAGTGCAAAGACATTCTAGTTATATTGTTCTCAGGTTTTCTCAAAGTGTGTTCTATCCAATGCCAACGTCGTTTCTTCACCTCCGGATCCACTGGAACTTGTTTATTTTTCTTTCAAAGCTCGACATTGTGTTTCTATTATACCATTTAATTCCCTTTAATTGCGCAGGCACCAGTTAATGAATATTTGTAGTTTATTACAAATTGTCTTAGTTCTCCATGTTTCTGCTCCACACAACAATACTGATTTGACATTAGAATTAAAAAGTCTAAATTTACTATTAGTTAACTTTTTATTCGTGGGTATGTTGTTATGATCATAGAAATTAGACATATACAGTCACTATATGTTGGTCAAGCACAGTGAAGATCAAAATCTGTTCTTGAATTTAAAGAAAACGAAAATAATGTCTACAGATAAAACTGGCTGTCACCCAAAAATAACAATAAATGATGAAGGAATTGAAAATGTCACAAACTTTGAATATCTAGGCTCTATAATAAACAACAGCGGAGACTGTTCGACAGAAATTAAAAGGAGGATGGCCATAGCAATGCAAAGAAAGATTGAACAGCCTTAAAAGTCTATGGTTAAGCACCAGCAAGGAGATCAAAATTAGAATTTTGAGAGCATGCATCTTCCCTGTGGCTACATACGGATGTGAGTCGTGGACTATCTCTCAGTCCTTGAGAAAGAGAATAGGGGTTTTTGAGCTTAAATGTTATAGAAAGATTCTCAGAATATCTTGGACAAAGAAGATGAGAAATATTGACACCTTAAAAGATCTGAACATCAAGGAAGATTGGCTAATAAACAGCATCTTTTCTCGAAAGCTGAAATATTTTGGTCATATCAAGCGCCACGACGGATTGGAAAAAATTATAGCAGAAGGCATGGTAGCAGGAAGGAGGGGCAGGGGTCCACCGACACGAAGATGGGCACAGGATATATGTGACTCCTTGAATGTGAAAATGCATGAGGCGGGAGAACTGGCGAGAGACCGAGTTTCTTTCAGGCAGACTGTGATGAGAGCGACGTTCTGCAAAGGACCTGCTACACGATGATGATGATATGTTGGTTAAGTAATGCGAAGGAATAAACTCGAAAATATTGTGACATATGGCAAGATTAATGAAAAAATAGGCAAGGGAAGGCCTGACTTAGTCACTTCTCTTCTACCTTGGTGTGTAGAGGTTTGCCAGAGAGATCGCCAGATATCTCTATCAGCAGTTTTCATTTTAGCTTTGTTAGCATGGGAAAGATTACTCCCGGATACCTTGCCTAGATGGGTCGGGTGGGACAAGAGCACTGACACGGTTCGTGATTCGTGTGATCCTATGCCATGGAAAACCATGACAGTGGACGCTTGTCGGCAGAGCACATGTTGGTGGTGATGATGGTGATGATGATGATGGTGCTGATGATGATGATGATGTGCGGGTATAGTATAGCGGTATTAGGAAAAAATATTAACATACATTGTTTTGTAATCGTAAGCATCGCAAATTTTCATTTTACCTATTTGTTTTTCTGTTGAAAAACTCACCATCAAACAAGACTATAATTCCTAAAAGAAAAGAAAATATCATTTTAAGACTAAAAAAAGGTCTTGTGATTTGGGGGGGGGGGGGGGGGTGGTGGGGTTGGGTTAAAATCTTGTAAACATAATTTTCAGGTTTTACATTGTCCAGTGTGGATTCCGTGACCCCATGTTGGGGGCAAAAGAATAGACCCATGGCCCCCATCCCCCACCCACTCCCACCATGTCGGAAAAGTAGACTAATTGTAGATGTATCATTTGATCACGGAGTGCGCCTGTCTGAGAAGTTAGGAACCAACATTCTGCATTCAAATACACATGATCTATAGAATAAACGCAAGCGCAAGAACCAGGTTCTGGTTATAAGACCAAAGCCCAAAAGTGGACGAAAAACCTGAATTGTTCGCCGGAATTTAGAGCCGGTGATCGCAAAAATGAAGAATCACGCAAAAATATATTTATAAAAAAGACAAAACTTACACATTTTTTGATCTGAAAAAGAAATTGTTGAAATTTTATATACACGACTAAAATGTTATCCTATATTTAAAATTGTGGATAATATAATTTTCTAACTATCAAACGCATTTAGTCCTCAAACAAAATGTGACCAGAAAACGACGAAAAGTGATTGAGAACGGCTGAATTTTCGTTCAGCTGTACCCAGACATGGTCGTCCCGCGACAGCCTCAGGATGATAGTGTTGCTTCCAGTGCCGTGCCGAGCCTGGGCGTCGCCGTGGAACGCCATTTGGTGGTCGTTGTTAAGCATGATCCAACCGTAGGCTGTGTGGTTCTCCATGCTCAGCATGTGTACCGTGAAGAGGTAAGTCCCGTTTACCTGAAAGACAGTAAGTCAGGATGTAAAGCGAAAAGGGAGAGGGTGGGAGTGGAGTGGGAGGGGGGATGGACAATGGAGGGAGGTTGAGTGGAAAGGGGAGAAGTGGTTGGGTAGGGGGAGGGCGGAATCTTTGAGTCAGAGGAGTTAGGGGCGCATGGCTAGTGCTGTCGCCACAGATTGTGCACTGTTAAGATTTTTTTTTTTTGCACCTGACAGATTAAAAAAAAAATCTATAACGTTACAGAGGATGGAAATCTAGGTCTTCCGTGTGTGAGCCCAGTGTCCTTAACCCCTTCGACAGCCGGTCCAGTTCAGTAAGGAAAAACTCAGCACTACTGACTCTATCAAATCCTTTGTTTCGCATGTAAAAGTAACGTTGGTCTCCCTACGCCCCGCCCATATACATACTAGCTCGCTTTTTATTGGTAGTTCCTGTACCTGTCACTTTGGCACAAGGCTACGGTGGTGTTTGGCAATGTCGTTGATATCGCGTGTTGTATATTTCAGCACGCCAGCGCTTTTAAAACTCCAAAAACATGGACAAACTGGATCTAACGCAACTCCCCTAGAGAGTGCTGCAATCTATGTCACAAGCAAGACATTATAGAAAGAAAACAACAGAGCGGGACACACCCGTAATCTTAAGCAACGTCGACCAGCCCAACAAACTTGTGAATGAAAAGTGACCTACTCTATTTGGGGAGACTAACGTGAACTTAATCAATTCGCAATATTCTGCTTGGGCGTCTTAATTTATTAGTATGTGTTTTAGTTGTTCTCTATGGTTACACTACACTCAGCTATACTGATCTGCATAAAAACTCAGGTTGAGGAACAAGATTGAAGCTAGAAATTGAGGAACAACGAGAACTTTCCACCGAATTTTACAGCTGGAAAACACTAGGAAGATGAAGAAGTTTGCTGCTAAAAGAGGAGATGCCTGGCATATTCCCACCTCAGCCAAGACAAAACTGTATGTCAGACGGTGATATTTGGACTGCAAGATAGCTTCCATCAAGGATACTGACCCCTTAAGACGTTCTGCAAAAGGATCAACTAAGATGAAGAAGCATAACCTACTGCCATACTCATGTCATGCTACTAGACAACATACTTTCCGTGTGGGTTCCGTGGTTCCATTGTTGGGAAAATAAGAATAGACCCGCTGCTTCCCCAACAAGCATGTCGTAGGAGTCGACTCACTGGGGACTTCATTCGAAGTCGGAGTGCATCTGCCCGAGCGGCAAGGAACAACCAACTGCACACAAATAGGATAGTCAAACGGATGTACACACTAAATTCAGTCCCCGGCACAAAGCCACAGTCCAAATGGACGAACAACCAGGACTTTTCACCGAAGCTTACAGCCGGTGAACAAAGAAGAAGAAGAAGGAGGAGGAAACATACCGAATATACTATATTCACAAGCAAGAATAATATCAGCAAGCTTTCCATGAAAATCAAATTCATTTTTTTTTTTTTTGGACAAATCAAAATCTTTTCCTCATTTGACAAACAAAGGTCTTTTCCTTCGCTTGTCCCCCCTCCCTTTTTTTAGGTAGCATTTCAGAAAAAAAAAAAAAACTATATATGTAATAAATCACCTTCATTACACATTAAAAAAAAAAAAAAAAAAAAAAACTAGTACTGAAAATATTACATACATCCTGTTCTGAAGTATGACAGTGAATCTTGGAATGTGAGCAAACACATTAAAAAGAGTTTGGAGGCAACTGATCTGTGGTTCTTGACAAGAATGTTGCGTATACTGTACCTTGGACTGTCAGAATAACTAACACTGGAAATGGCTAACGAAAGTAGAACATTATATACAACAATGAGAAGGAGACAAAGTTATTTTGTCATCTGATCAGAAAAAGAGCACTGGAAAGTATCGTGACGACTGGAGAGATCACTTGAAGAAGGGGCAGAGGCAGATCAAGATAAAGATGGTGGGTGGCGTAAGACAGTGGCATGGAGGAATTTCATTAGTGGAATTGGTCCAGAACACCAAGGACTGGGATCTGTGGAGATGCACACACGCGTGTGCAAAACACTTGATGATGATGTCCTATTTTTGTTTTGGTAAACACTGCTTATGCCTGTCTGCAGCATGGATGTTGCGCCTTGATGCCGACAAATTCGATTTTTCTGGTATTTAAAAGAAAAAAACAACAACACCCGAGTCAGTCTTCCCAATTACCGCTAGAACGATAAGAACTTCTGGTCAAAATAAAGATTACGTATGTTCATTGTTCTAAGATGTAAACAGCGGGGAATGGAGAGTGAGAAGCAAACAACGAAATTCATAATCTGTGTAAATCACCACTGATCACTGGCATCATGATAGCTTATAGGTTGAAATGGCTGGGACATATTGAGAGAATGTCGGATTCAGAGAGCTAGTAAATCACAGAAAGTCCAACATTCTAGGGGTGTTATGGTTAAGGTTAGGGTTAGTGGTAATGGTAGGGTTAGGGTTTGTCGGTGTTTCTGAGGCGGTCGGGGCTGGTAAAGATCCTAACCCTAACCCCAACACATAACACCCTCAGGATACTGGGCTGAATAAAAAATAAAGTATCGAATTTTAACTCGACTAGCGGAGCAGTATTCAAACCTACTGGTTGACTACAAGTTTGACATAAATAATGAGTTACAATATAAACACTACGATCAAGGCAGAATGTTAACACGACTGGTAGAAGCAGAGCCACTGGGCAAACTAGTGTGCTGTCGCCCCTACGACAAATATATTTCTTTATTTATGGCAAGTTATACACAGGACATCACAGGACTCGTCTGTTTGTGGGGACCCTATTCTTGTGCCCTCCCCCCCCCCACCGCAATTAACCAGAGGGCCCATGCGTTAAGACGGCACTGGATGGAACAAGGCCAGCTGAAGTTACAAGGGCATAGCCGACATTCTGGTCACGTGACGTGACGTCACGACCCCGGGCTTACAATACGAACAAAAACAATTTTCAGTAAGGCAAATTATATCTTTTAACTAGGCTACATATATTCCCTAAAATTTATATTATTTATACAGATGGCTCTGTGCTGAGAGGTAGAAGTTCCTGGGGGGGGGGGGGGGGGGGGGAAGGGCATAGCAAAAGAAAATGGACGTCGCTTAGTGCAAAAAGCCTGGCATAGGAAATCACGTCTAGGTGAAAATGGAGGTGGAGGCATTCACTGCTGCCTTTCACTGGATTCAGAGTCACTGTACAGACATGTTGTCATTGTTACTGACTCTCAGAGTATTTTAAGAGAGTTGGAGACAGGCATGATGGGTGCAGAGTGGCAAGCATCGCTTCAGAGGTGCCGGGTAGTTAGCATCCTTAGGATATTTTCTCCAGGTCATGCTGGTATGTTTGGAAACGAACAGGCGGATAGACTGGCCGGGTCTGCACCACTTAGTGGTGAACATATATGACAAGCTAGATGTTGAGAAGGCCCTTTAGGAGCGAGGGAACAGTGCGGAGGCTCTAATAGATCATTACCTTCTAAGGAGACTGACGCTGCGGGGAGTTACCAGGGGATCTGGCCGACGTTCAACACTCACAGGAAAGGCGAGACAGATGGACAATCAGACGGTTACTGGTACCATGGGTATTGGAACTTTTCGCTTGCTGCTAAAGATGTGCATAGCGCGCCTATGAGAGTGTCCCGTGTGTTATGATGTCGATTCTTAATTCAGCATTCAACATTTATCACCTAGAAATGATGATCGTAAGGGTCTTAGTAATGTAACTACAAGTCCCAACAAGGGTCTTAGTAACTGTAACAACAAGTCACAACAAGGGTCTTATTGACTGTAACAAGAAGTCACAACTAGGGTCTTAGTAACTGTAACAACAAGTCTTAACAACGGTCTTAGTAACTGTAACAACAAGTCACTATCAAAGGTTTTAGTAACTGTAACAAGTCACTATCAAAGATCTTAGTAGCTGTAACAAGTCACAACAAGGGTCTTAGTAACTGTAACAACAAGTCACAACAGGGGTCATAGTAATTGTAACAACAAGTCACAACAACGGTTTTAGTAACTGTAACACGTCTTAGTAACTGCAACAACAAGTCACAAAAAGATGTCCTAGTAACTGTAACAAAAAGTCACAACAAGGGTCGTAGTAACTGTAAGAACAAGTCACAACAAGGGTCTCAGTAACTATAACAAGTCTTAGTAACTACAACAACAAGTCACAAAAAGATGTCTTAGTAACTGTAACAAAAAGTCACAACAAAGGTCTTAGTAAGTCACAACAACGGTCTTAGTAAGTGTAACAACAAGTCACAACAAGGGTCTAAGCAATGTTAGTCTGCCAGGGTGTGAAAGCACTAACCTTGCAAATAAAATGTGACGAGTAGACATCAAAGCTGTCGCCTAGGTTGAGGTGAATCTTGTCAAATGTCACAGGAGTCTTCTGCGGCACGGGACCCAGCGGCTCGCTGCGAGTCACGGTGAAGGCTATTCGAGAGGGCTGATCTCCTTTCGGCCCTCGGGCACCTTGCTCACCAGGTGGTCCTGAAATGGCAGGTAAATAAAGTAAAGTACCCTTTTCCACACCTTTAGGCGTATGGGGGGGGGGGGGGGGGGAGGGGTATATAGGGCTAGACCTATATTTTTATAGACCAATCGACACAAGATGGGTGATGGGGTCAGCATCACGTCGGCCGCCTTTACTTCCCGGGACTGCACCCGGTACCCACTCAAGGCTGGGTCGACCTGAGAGCCAAGGTCATTTTTGAAAAAGTCCGGCTCCGCCAGGGAGCGAACCCACGACCTTCCGATCCGCGGCGAGCGTTAGCCGCTCGGCCACGGCGACTCCCGAAATGGCAGGTGACATCCAGTAACATGTGAATAGATGCCGGCTGTCAAGAGTTTAAAGACGAGAATGTCTTTTCCTAATTTGAAGACCATAGGTGAACGACTTCTGGCAGAAGACACGAGATTAGATGAAATAACCTGAGCAAGAATGAGTGAACGAGGAATTCAGTGCTGAGACGAAGAGATCGGTGTGTGTATAATCAGTGTGCCAGAGAACAGTTAGCATCTACACCTTACGTCATTTGCTGCGGGAGACGAAGCATCTATGTGTATGCCCGGTGCGCTATGATGTCGATTCCTAAATCAGTAAATCAGAATGTCTTCCTCTTCTTCTTCGCCTTCACCGACAGTAAACTCCAGCAGAAAGTTTGGTGCTTTCTTTTTAGCTGACTACAAATGACGTCACGCGACAGTGCACTATTTTAAAGGGTGGTAAGAGCAGGTTTTTCGTGTTTTCTGTGCTATAGCGCGTTTCTACAAAAGCAAAGGTTTTCGCGCGTTTTCCTAACCCTAACCTTAACCTTAACCCTAACCCTAACCAAAACTACACGCTTAATCTACCACCCTCTGAAATATACGACTGTCCCGAGACCTGTGGATTTCCCCTGTTTGTGGTCGTCTAATAAGAAAATACCGAAAAGTTCTGGTTGTTCGTCCACATCGAAAACTTACTCTTGTTCCGGAACCCGAGTATTACATGCATATCTGTTTTACAGATCTGACTTATTTTATACAGATTATTGGTTTCTTGCGTCTCTGGCAGATGCACTTGCGACTTTGAAAAAAAGCCCTCAGTTAGCCGATTATCTGATGCAGTCGTTGTTGGACTAGGATGTGGAGACTTTTTCAACTTCGCGTTTACCGGCTGTAAACTCCGGCAGAAAGTTCTGGTTGTTCGTCCACTTCTGGACTTTGGTCTTGTTACAGAACTTGTGTTTTGGGTGTGCACAATCCATTTGATAGATCTGCCTTATATGTGTGCAGACTGTTAAATCCTCGCTTCTCAGGCAGATGCACTCCAGCTTCGAAGGAAAAATCGCCAAATTGTTAGAACTTACGACATGCTTGCTAAGGGGCGATGGGTCTCCACCACCCTCGCAATGGGACCCCCGAAACCCACACGGGAAGAAAGTGGAGACAGATCATGCTTTCACGCGTATTGGGCTTTCACGGACTAGACCAATATTTTATAGACTCATTAGTACTCGATGAGTGATTTAGTCAACATCACGCCGACCGCCTTACTTCCCACAATGTCACCAGGTACCCATTTACTGCTGTGTCGACCTGGCAGCAAAGGTCATAAAAAAGGCCAGCTGCACCAGGACCTGAACCCACTATCTTCGGATCCGGAGACCAGTGTCTAGCCGCTACATTACGACGGCTCCCTAGATGAAAGGATTTCATAGGCAAGTAAAATACAATAGCAAAAATTACCGGCATACTGTACACAATGACAGAAAATACACGTAAACAAGAGACTTTTCAAGATAAACGTCCAAGGAGATTCCGGCGAATATTTTGATGAATAAAAGAAGGCAAATGTAGAACTGGAGTAGAAAACGAAATGCTCGTCATTGGTAATTCACATAAATCAACTTAGAAGCAACCCCTGAGGCTGTAGAAATATAATATATATATATATATATATTATATATATATATATTCTATATATATATATATATATATATATATATATATATATATATATATTTAGAAATATATATAAGCCAATGTATTGACTGGCACTCACAGAAAGAAGTGGAAAGGTATAATGACATACAGTACAATATAAAAATCAAAAGTAATAATTGCCGTGCCGGGAATCGAACATGTCACCTCCTAATGGAGTGTGAGCCTCGTAATGGAAACAAGTATACTAAGAACATGGTCAACTAGGCACCCCTAAAATGGGTCTCATGACTGGTCATGTCTATCGTACAGCTTGACATTCATTTCAAACCATTGAGATGGTCCCAAAGGTTACATAAATTTATATTAACGAAGCATAACACAGCAACATTTTACAATCACACTAGACCGTAATGCTTTGTCTAGAATACACGAACCTTTAAGAGAGAGCTTTGATTGGTAGGTTCCATTGTGTTAAATGGCTATCGTAGAGCTTGAAATCCACAACTATGGAATATGGACAGAATTCACCTCAAACCACTGAAATGGCACCATAGGTTTCATAAATTTATATTAGTCAAGTATTGGCCGTTTGTGTATCATCACTGGTAAATTTTATCAAAGGAAGAAGGTAAAGATGGCTTTGGCATGTCAGTAAAAGGTATCGGACCCTTTGCATAGGGCAACTCTCTGATAAACGGCGAATGGAACATGGAGACGTGTAAGAGAGAAGGACAGGTACATAAGCGAATGCGATTTGAGCTGGGATTCCATGGACAGAGAAGCAGCAGACCAACAAAAACGGGCATCGCTTGTGATTACCTTGTATGTCATAAAACACATGGAGAGGATTTAGAAAGATACGTATGGAAAAGTAGAAGAAAGCCGAATCAACAAATCAAATGGTTAGGTCATGTAATAAGATTGGCACCAGACAGGGCACCACAGAGAGCAATCTTTAACATATACAACGATAATAGACCTAGAGGTCCACCACGCAGACATTAGACCTTAGAAATATCAGAGACACTGAAAAGTACTTTATACGAAGCCCGTTGCAAAGATCTCTTCCTGCCCTGACGTCGCAAAGAATTCCAGGAGTAGAGAGAAAAAGAAGAAGAAAAAAAAAGACAGACAGATCTGATGATAGAAGTCCGGAAAGACGAGTCAAAAACAGGAGGGTATTTCTTCTTTGCCCTTGATCTCCAACATGGCATAGTCCTTCAGCCGACTCACGCCCTATCGTCCTATCATTTGCTATTGCAAGGAGCTCACCACATTCTCCCTTGTTTCTAGCTCTCTGCCTTCTGTGTGTGGCGTGTGCATTGAGTGGGGGGGGGGGGGGGTGTGTGCTGTTTTTGGGGCGTTCAATGCCCTAGTGAATTTCCGTGCAAAGACTATCTAGTTATATTGTTCACCGGTTTTTTCAGCGTGTGTCATATCCAACGCCAGCTTCACGTTCTTGATTTGTATTTTATGGGATGAAGTAGTCAACCTCAATGCTAAACCCTAGTCGCCTATTACGACATGCCTAGTATGGTGCAGCGTTAACATTTTTTTTCTTATGAGGCAATAATAAATGTGTTGCGAGTATATGGTGGTAATAAATCTACACGTACGGGACAATAGGGTAAACAACAGCACACACACCTTTCATACCACAAACCTATCACACAACAAACCTATCACACCACAAACCTATCACACAACAAACCTATCACACCACAAACCTATCACACCACAAACCTAGCAAACCACCAAACTACAAAACAACAAACCTGTGTGTAAAAATCTACTCAACCACAAAACTCACCAAACCACAAGCCTCCTTCTGCTTAAAGTCCAACCAACAAAAACACTACCAACCTAGCAAAGCATGAGCAAGAGAGAGAGAGAGAGAGAGAGAGAGAGAGAGAGAGAGAGAGAGAGAGAGAGAGAGAGAGAAAAAGAGAGAGAGAGAAAGAGAAAGAGAGGGAAAGAGAGAAAAAGAGAGACAGGGAGTAAGATAGAATGAATTTTTGCGAGAAGAGAGAGAGAGAGAGAGAAAACGAGAGAGAGAGAGAGAGAGAGAGAGAGAGAGAGAGAGAGAGAGAGAGTGAGAGAGAGTGTGAGAGAGAGAGAGAGAGGAGTAAACCTGCGAAATCACAAACCTACCAACTCACAAACCTACTAAAAAACACATAAGACATCTCATTGGCTCATAAACACAGACACAACCCACCCCCCCCTCCTTCTCTCACACACACACCCACATATCATCAGTACATGTCTAAATCTACCAATTCACAAACCTGCCCCACTTCAGAACTACCGACACACACATAAAGCAACGAAAACACTCATTAACTCATATTTTAAAAAAAAGAACAAACATTCTGTACAGCCCAAGCACATCCTCTCCATTTCTGAGTTTAACACTCTACGACCGAGGGAGCTTCTGAAAGCAAATAGAACCAAATTAGATTTTCCCCTAAAATAATCTTCACAAGAATAAAATTGTAGAACTGTCTGTCTGGTTTATTGTGTCTGTGTTGATGATGTAAACGAAAACAAATTAATTGGCGCGCACGTATAGATACATTAAACGACACACACAGACACATAGATACAGACACCCATAAATATATAAGTCAAGAGACACACACATACATACACAAATAGGCACATAAAACACAGGCGTAACACACAAACAGACACACACACACACACAGAGAGAGAGAGAGAGAGAGAGAAGAGAGAGAGAGAGAGAGAGAGGTATTTTGGGAGAAATCTGCACAAAGCTACATGATAGCTTCTGTAAATATCTTGTGCATATTCACAGGAGGGTATCAAACTGCTTTTGTGTGCGTATGTGTTTGTGTGTGCCCGTGACTGCATGTGTGTGTGTCTGTATGTGTCTGGGTTGTATGCGTGTGTGTGTATGTTGTATGTATGTATGTATGTATGTATGTATGTATGTATGTATGTATGTATGTATGTATGTATGTATGTATGTATGTATGTATGTAGTATGTATGTATGTATGTATGTATGTATGTATGGTATGTATGT